CCTAGCATTTTGAAAACACCAGAATCAGAAGGCAAACTAGCATTTAAAAGACTTAACTTGTTGTTTATGTATACTTTAAAGCTTGTTTACATCAGAGAGCACCAAAGCTGAATCTACCCACAAGAAAAAGGGAGGCAAGAAGTGTGATGTTTGGTGATAAAGCTAAGCTGCCAGTTTTCATCATTTTCAGAGACCTAACTGCTTAGAACCCTGACCCCTGACCCCCGGGCTAGGAATTAGAAACCAGTTAGGGAGGGAGAATTGAGGCTTTAGACCCGAGGTCAGGATTGGGGGTGTTACTTGGAATTATTTTTTTGTTTTCCCCTCCCCATTTTGACTACTCAGATATTGTTTTTTCCAAGACAAGGTTTCTCTGTAGCTTTGGAGCCTGTCCTGGAACTAGCTCTTGTAGACCAGGCTGGCCTCGAACTCACAGATCCATTTGCCTCTGCCTCCTGAGTGCTGGGATTAAAGGTGTGATCCACCACCGCCCGGCTTCAAAATCCCAAAGTCTTTAGAAATAACATACAGATAGCCTTGGCCAATAAATGTTTTCCTTAATGTTCATTTTTTAGCAGTTTGTAAACTAACTTACTACCTTGTTATCTGACTCAAATTACCAACTTAAAACCAAGCAGACCTTTTCCAGTAATTGCCCTTGTTTGCTACCCTCTGGGTCTGGAGGTGGATGCCTGCCCACACTGTACACAGTAGATTCCTCATCCCTTTGGTTCTGTCTAAAGTAGTTGTGTTACCTATATTCCAGCTCCGTCAGAGGATAGAATAGTCTTTAGACAATCTAAGACTGTCCTGGACTAGGGAAGTAACTGGGTTGTAGAATGCTTGCCTAACATGCTAAAGATTCTGGGTCCAAGGGGAGGGGAGGGGAGAGAGACTCAATCCTGAATGAGTTGGCACCCTTTAAAATTTGGTTCTTTATTTTTTTCAAAGGCTTTTGGCCTCTTTTCTTCCTTTTGTTTGGGGGCCCTGTGTTACTGACTGTGCATTAGCAACCCTTGTGCTAAACTCTTGATTATATTGAATCAACAACGCTAAGCCCTTGCCCCTGCTGCTTGTTGCACATCCTGTGGCAGCCCTCAGGAAATCCTATTTTTTGGCATTGAAACGAATTAAAGGATTAAGCCACTACAAGGGAGGGGGTGATAAACTCTGCTTGTTGGAGGAACTTACGGGCCTGTGTTAGCTAAGCTGCTCTCATTCTTATATGGAGCTGGAGAGCCAAGGAGCTGCTTTGATGTCCTTTAGTCTGGCCCTGACTCTAGCAGGGCACTTTGATGCTCGGTCGCCAGTCTAGCAAAATGGGGGCTCAGAGTTGATGAACCTGACTCCCACTCCTTTGCTCCAGCTCGCTCGTTTCCTAGAAGCCTTTTCACCTGTCCTTTACAAGGTGCTTCTTGGAGGCAGACAGCATCTTAGGTTATTAGAAGCCTGGTGAAGATGCATTTGTTTCTTTTCCTTGGGATTCTTTTTTTTTTTAATATTTATTTATTTATTTATTATGTATACAATATTCTGTCTGTGTGTATGTCTGCAGCCCAGAAGAGGGCACCAGACCTCATTACAGGTGGTTGTGAGCCACCATGTGGTTGCCGGGAATTGAACTCAGGACCTTTGGAAGAGCAGGCAATGCTCTTAACCTCTGAGCCATCTCTCCAGCCCTTCCTTGGGATTCTTAATTGGCTAACAAAGATTTTTTTTTTCCTGATGCCATTTTCAGGAACTTAAGGGGAATATGTTAGTTTATCTTGCATTTTAGCTAACATTTATTTTGGTTTTGTCTTTCATAGAGTTTTGACCTAAGATTTTCCATCTTTCACCAAGTTAGAAAACCAGCAGAACAGATTTCAGTTACCTGTGCAATTTGGTTTTTTAAAGCCTCCTTCATTCTTTTTTCCTTTACATGTTCTATCCTCGCCTACCCCTTCCCAGTCCAGTCACTGCTTTACGATATTTTTAGATGTGATGATCTGGATTTCAGTCTAAGTCTGCATCCTTAAAGGCCTAGTGAGGTATATGCTCACTGTCATGTTTTCCCAACTCTTCCTCCCTCCCTAGACACTAAGGGGTCCTTTGCACATCCTGTGGGGTATTTGTGACCGTTCAGAATCTGCTGATCCAGAAAGTTTGTGAAGTTTTATTCCTCTTCTACAGAGTTCATAGCTAAAATATCCAAACGTGAAAACTGTCGAGTAGAAGTTCTTAAAGTTTAGTCTTTATATTTTTCTAGTGGCATGGAAATGAACTTCAGCCTAATAGTGAGATTCATAAGATGGGCAGCAATTATACTAACAAACTCCAAATGTTTGCCATCACTACAGAAAGGATTTTAGTGAGTTTTTGATATTTTTGTTTTTCTGCTGCCTTCAGTTTTTAATGCCCCTTCCCACACACACATGTTCTTGTAAGGATAGAATCAGAGTATGGCCACACTTTTTGGTTTTTCAAGACAGGGTTTCTCTGTAGGAGAGTCCTGACTGTTCTGGAACTCCCTCTGTAGACGAGGGTGGCCTCAGACTCACAGAGATCCACCTGCCTCTGCCTCCTGCACATGTTTGTTTTTGTTGTTTTAGATTTTGCCACAGTTTGGGGGGTTATGTTGTTGTTATTGTTGTTTTGGTTTTTGTTTGTTTTTTTGTAAGTAATATGTACCCTTCAGTGTTTCCTATCAGGACTCATCAGTGATAGGGTCTCTTCCTTGAATGTCTAAAGAGTTGGGGTGTTTATTTGTTTTGTGGACCCAGGGTCTCTACACAACCCTGTCTGCCCTGGAACTAGTTTATGTAGACTAGACTGGCCCAAAATTCATAAAGACCACTTGCTCCTGCCTCTAGAGTACAAGGTTTAAAGGCATGTGCCACCATGCATGGCTGAAGGAGCCACTCTTTGTTTTGTTGGGGTTGATCAAGGATGAAAGGAGTAGTTGGCCCATTTTATATTTGATATGGACAGAGTATTTTGATTGAGGGGTTTGGGAGGTGATTGTGTTTTGTTTTTGTTTTTAAAGACAGAATCCTGCTATGTATCCCAGGTTCACTTTGAATTTAACTGTGTATGTGTATGCCTCAGCTTCCTGAGTACTAGGATTAGAGGTCTATTCTACATGCCCAGTGGAACAGGGTTTTCTTACTCCTGTAATTAAAACTACTTAGATGAGTCTTCAGATTTAGTACTGTTTCATTTTCAAATGAGTATGATGGGGCTTGGGGCCATTTGTCAGGGAAAGCAGAAAGGGGTGATAGAAAACAAGGTGTTTGCCAACAAATGTGACACTGAGTCGATCCATAGGACCACATGGTGGGAAGAAAAGGAACCCTCACCAGCAGGCAGCTCCTTAAAAATTTGTAAAGCGACTAACAAGAAACAATTATGGGTTACCATATCTCTCTACTTATGCAGTATTGAGAATGAACTCAAAGCATACTAAAAAATGGTTTTTAATATTCAAAGGGAATCAACATTGTAACAAACGAACCCTCTACTGGATAATGTCAGAGGTCCTGTGCACATGCAATGCAGGAACAATACTAAACTCTTCTTTCAGTATGATGACAAGTTTAAATCCTCGTGGGTTTTGCCAGCTTATCTTTATCTGTAGTTTCAAGTTCTGTTGCTACATGAATGTGAACATTTCAAAATGAGAGCTTAAATCAGAACATAAGAAACCACCTACATATTTGCACAGATGAACACAAATTCTACACCCGTAAGGATTTTATTACTTCATTAGTCTTTTACGGTCGTTAATTAGAAAGTTCCAAATTTTAGTTCATTTTCTGCATCACTAGATTGATCCCAGAGTGTCACAAACTGAAAGATCAAAGAAGTAAAGGAGCAGCCACTAGAGAGACTTCTTACCTCTACTGAATCCTCAGACCGAATAGGGTTGAGCTCCTGTCTTCTCCTGCCTTATATTCCTCTCTCTGCCTAGCCATATCACTTCCTGTCTCTACTTCCCTAGTGCTTTAAGATTTTAAAGGCTGAAGCCAGGCCTAGTGGCTCTCTCTTCCTGCTGCCTCTGAATCAGGACGTAAAGCTCTCAGCTACTGTTCCAGGAGCATGCCTGCATGCATGCCACCCTCCACACTCCCTGCAGTGGTGATAAAGGACTAACCTGAAACTGTAAGCAAGCCCCCAATTAAATACTTTTTTAGCCAGGTATGCTAACACAGGCCTTTAACCTCAGTGCTTGGGAGGCAGAGGCAGGCAGATCTCTCTGAGTTTGAGGCCAACCTGGTCTACATAATGAGTTTCAGGACATCCAGGGCTATATAGAGAGACCCATAGGTATAATTTTCTGTCCTACCAGCCAGCTCCCAAAGAACAACACAGAGACTTGTTGTTATAAATGTTTTGCCAATAGCTTAGGCTGGTTACTACTAATTCTTACATTTTAAACTAACCCATATTTCCTATCTATATTCTACCACGTGGCTTGGTACCTTTCTTCAGCACAGCATGTTTATCTTGTTTCTCCCTGGGCCTCCTGGAGACTCCACCTTCTTCATCCCAGCATTCTCCCTGTCCACAAGTCCCACCTAACCTCTTCCTGCCTAAATATTGGCCATTTAGCTCTGTATTAAGCCAATGAGAACAACACATTTTCACAGTATACAGAAAGATTATTCCACAACAGAGATCCTGTCTCAAAAATAAAAAACAATAGCAACTTTCTTTTGTCAGAGTAACCTTGGTCGTAGTATACTTTCATAGCAGTAAAAACTCTTAAGACTCCAGACAATTGTGGTGCACAACCTTAATCCCAGCACACTTAGGAGGCAAAAGCAGGTGGATTTCTGTGAATTTGAGTCCAGCCTGGTCTACATAGAGAGCTCCAGAACAGCCAGAGCTGTTACGCAAAGAAACCCTGTCTCGAAAAACAAAACAAACAAACAAAAGTCCTGGCAGATAAAAAGAAGACAAAGAAAATGGTTATCTTTTTCTTCTATTCCTTAGTATTATTTTGTTTTTTGTTTTTTTAGGCAAAGAATGTGTACAACAGTTGGCTGAGAACACCAGGTATTTCAGGAGACGCCTGAAAGAAATGGGATTCATCATCTATGGCAATGAAGACTCCCCGGTGGTGCCTTTGATGCTCTACATGCCGGCCAAAATTGGGTACTTTTGGGAAAGGCCACAAACTGGTCTGTCATTAGACAGAAAGATATGTTGGGGGGAAGGGGGAGAAGTTGGCATTCTTGTGTTGCTACATGGGCAGGATTTTGTTTTCCTTGCTTGCTTTTTTTAAAGACGATCTCACTGTATAGCCCTAGCTGGCCAGGAAGTCACTATATATAGATCAGACTTCCTCACCGCATTTGCCTGCCTCTGCCTCCCAGGCGCTGAGATTAAAGGTGTGCACCACCACACCTGCCATGGGCTGCTTTTTATTCCCAAGTACTGTGAACAAATTAAGGGAAGGTAAAACACAAAGCAAAATTTTGTAAACAAAGCCAAACCATTATAATTCATTATCTAGTCGGGATTCTGCTGTGGAGGAAGACACAAGACAGCTGTGGTGAACTTGTATAAGAGCTGTGGCGTTTGGGGGACCTGCTGGCCTACAGAGCCTCAGAAGCAGCCTGTCCTGCTTTCCCAAGTAGGGAAAGAAAAAAAAAGAGGAATTCCTGACCTAGGAGGCCAATTCCAGTCAGTTACTCCTGCTGTACCTGTCACAAGTCCTCTGTCCTCACAGTCTCAAAACTGTTTTCTAACACAGGTTTGTTTGCAATCTTAACCACTATTCCATTTCAGGGACAGGCTATCACCTGGAGTTGATCCTTCCAGTTACATTCTTCTACCTTTGTGAAGGAGTGACTATCAGAGGACTGGGAAAGCAGAGATTTTAGAATCATCAAACATTGGGCCAGCAGCCAGGTGGTAGTGGTGTGAGCCTTTAATCCCAGCAGAGGAGACAGAGGCAGGTGGGTCTCCATGAGTGGGAGGCCAGCCTGATCAACACAGCAAGCTCTAGGACAGTCAGGGTTGTTACACAGAGAAACCCTGTTTTTTGGGGGAGAGGCAGGGAGGCAGGCAGGCATCAAGCTAGTAAGACTTTGTGCTTTCTGCTATTTATACTTCTTGGTTTCTTTTGTTGCTGTTTTGTTTTCTGAGGCAAGATTTCTATATTTTGCCCTGGTTAGTTCTCTGTGTTGCCATAGAATTAGTTCTGTAGACCAGGCTAGCTTCAAACTCAGATCCACCTACCTCTGCCTATTAAAGTCATGTGCCACCATGTCTGGCTACATTTCTTGGTTTTCCTTTTGTAGTGCCTTTGGGCGGGAGATGCTGAAGCGGAACATTGGTGTAGTTGTGGTGGGATTTCCTGCTACCCCAATCATTGAGTCCAGAGCCAGATTTTGCCTGTCAGCAGCTCATACCAAAGAAATACTTGATACGGTAAGTACCTTGAAATCAATATGGCACATTCTAAAAGGGGCTGTATATCAGACGGTACCAGTCACTTGATGTTCTAGAGCATCTAGGATTTTTTTTATTAAGGTTTATTTTATGTGTATTAATATTTTATCTGTATGCTATATATATGTGTGTGTGTGCACCACATGCACGCTTGGTGCCATGGATCTCCAGGAACTGGAGGTACAGGCAGTTGTAAGTTGTCATGTGGGTGCTGGGAATTGAACCCATTTCCTCTAGAGCACCCAGTGCTCCTAACCACTGAGCCATTTCTCCAGCCCGAGCACCTGGTGAGACAGGGCAGACAGTGTTATCTTAAATGACTATTTCAAAGCAGTTGCCGAATCTTTCATATAGTCCACAAATCCAGTACCAGAGTTCTGGAGAACCGTCTAGCTTCCTCTGTTTTGGTTTGTGACAGGGTCTTGCTGAGTAGCCGAGGTTGCCCCTGAACTAACAGTGTTCACACTAGAGATCCTCCTGTCTCAGCCCCCTGGCTGCTGGGATTATAGGTGTGGGCTACCTTACTCAATCAGCATCCATCCACTTGTACTGTTGTCTCTCTCACGATACAGTCTAAAGCAGAACAGGTCTCTTTTCTCCAGCTGTTTCTAATTTAAACTTTCTCATTCGATGTTACACTTAAAATACATTCCTTTCCTAAGTTCTTTCCTCCTTGTGTGGCTGCTCTGTGTTGATCACAGCTCCACTCAAAAGGAAGCTTGCTGCTTGTTCCCACAGCAGCCTAGATACCCCGCCCAGCAAATTCTTTATGCTGGTAATGGTTTCTGTCTCCTGAGTAGTGAAATTACAGACATGTGCCATTATACTTGGCTAAGAGCTACTAATCTTAAGGAATTTTTTTAAATCGTTATTTTTAAAAATATTATAATAATTTAATTGAAGTTTGGAGGTTGGTTTGTTTTGTCTTGTTTTTGTTTTTTTAAGAGCAGGGTTTCTCTGTGTAACAGTTTGGCTGTCCTGGAACGTGTTCAGTAGACCAGGCTGGCATCAAAACAGAATTTTGCCTGCTTCTGCTTTCTGAGTGCTTAGCTTAAAGGTGTGTGCCACCATGCCCAGCTAACGGTTTCTGTTTCTTAGCATATCTAATTATACTTCTTTTTTTTTAAAAGATTTATTTATTCATTGAGTATCCATAGTGTTCTTTCTGCATATATGCCTACTTGCCAGAATAGGGCATCAGATCTCATTAGGGGTGGTTGTGAGCCACCATGTGGTTGCTGGGAATTGAATTCAGACCTCTGGAAGAACAGCCAGTGCATTTAACCTCTGAGCCATCTCTACAGCCCTATACTTCTATTTCTTACAACTGAAGACTTTTGACTATTTCCCTCTATATCTACAAAATGAAATTTCTCTAAAAATATATTCCTGAGCTGGGCATAATAAAGATGGATGCATTCCTTTAGTAACCCCAGCGTTTAGTAGGTTGAAGCAGGAGGGTTGGAAGTTTGAAACCAGCCTGAGATACAAACAAAACTTTCTCAAAAAACAAACAAATAAATAAATAATTTTTTTAGTTAGAGCACCTTATTAGTGATTGGTATTCATTCTTTAAGTGATCAATACAATACTCTAGTATTGTGGACTGTGGGTAGGATTACAATTACATCTTTCCCCTTTCTCTTTTCCAGTTCAGTCTCTCCCATGCACCACTGCCCTTGCTCTCATTCAAATTCATGGCCTCTTTGTTATGTGTGTGTTTGTAAATATATAAATACAACTTGCTCAGTCTGTATAACATTACTTATATGCTTGTTTCAGGGCTGACTGTTTGGTATTAGGTAAAAACTTGGTGTTCTCTTCTCGGGGAAGGCTATTTCTTCCACTCGACATTCCCTGTTTGTCTGTAGCTCTTCGTGTAGAGTTGAGATCTTGTAAACATTCCCCTTCCGTGTTAACATGTCTGTTAGTATTTAGGACAAGTTTAGGCAGTCGTGTTGGTAAGACTGGGTCTAGCTTCTGAGATTTCTAAAGGCCGCAGTCTCACAGTGAACTTCCTGCCCCTCAGCAGTGATCCCTGAACCTTAGAGCAGGAGTTGTGGTACAGATGTTATCAGCTTGGACTGGGCTTCAGAACCCTGCATTTTGCTATGATTTTCTGTAATGGTCTCTGTTGCAAAGAGAAGTTTCCTTGCTGAGGGAGAGATCTATACTTAACCATGGGTATAAGGACAAATTTATTTATATTATTGTTAGGAACTATGCTATCTTAGTAAAGTAGTGGTCGAGGTTCCTATCCAAGGCTCATGACTTTACTCTGGGAAGTTGGCTAATTTTCCAGTATCAGGCATGATTGTCCTCTTATGTTGAAAATGAAATTTGGAAGACTCATATTTGTCAATCACAAATCTAATTACACCCTATAGTAGCTAAAGCTAAATACCAGCACGAGGATTGCAGTTAGACTAGAGGCTTGGAACAAGAGCTGAGGAATCAGCCTAAGCGTCTGGTCAGCTGATTGTTGACAGGGCACCAAGGGTAGGCAGTAAGCAAAAGGTAGTTTCTAAAGCAAGCAGTGCCAGCATGGATACCCAGTGAAGCTGCAACCCTGCAGCGTGGACAGACCTGCAAGCTGTGCTAACTGAAAGAAGCTAGACACAGCTGTGACTTAGGATTCTACTCATAAGGAATGCCCATAGTAGACGACTCTGCCGTGTCAGAGAATACATTGGTGGTTGAGAGAACTCAGAGGGAAAGCAGGGTTGCCGAGCAGTAAACGTACTGAGTGTGGGAGTTAATCAGAGACAGAGAAAGCCTGCTCTGCAGAGCCAGTTCCAAGACAGCCAGGCTGCACAGAGAAACCCTGTCTCAAGAGCCGAGAAAGAGAGAGACTGAAACTCTCTACACTTAGTGAAGATGGAAATTGCACCTGCTGGGATTATATAGAAGCACTGAATTATGTCTAGTAAAGAGTTGGGTTTTGTAGAATGTGGGTCATATTTCAGTAATTTCTCCACATAATGGGAAGAACAATAGCATCAGCTGTGGGGGGGCAGTGGTGTTAACCTGCTTCCTCACTCTGCCCGTCCTGAATGAGTTCATCCTGTGTCTTGAGCAGGGGTCACTGTAATTATTTGCTAAAAAATGGTACCATATAGTAGTTCTTCACTCCTAACCAAATAACCTCACTAAGGGCCAACAGTCTCTATGAGAAATTTGGTTTTTTAAGTAGATTAAACTTACCTCGGGTTGTGAATGTTGGCATATGCCTATAGTCCTAGGTGCCCAGAAGTCTGAGGCAGGAAGATCACTTGAGCTCAAGACTTTCAGATCAGCTTGGGAAGTTTATTGAGATTCCACATCAAATAACAAAAAAACATTCAAAAGCCTTGTGTGAAGCACTTGCTGTGAGAACAGAGCTCTTACCCTCATCCCCTTGGGCACTGTGAGCTTGTTTGCTCACTGACTGTTCCTGACCACGTTCCTTTTTACACTGATGGAAAAAAAAAATGAGGTGCTCCTGGAGTCACAGTTCGTAAATACCCTTTCCTTTGCGTTCCGAGTCACATACCCTTCTGTTTCAAATGTATAAATCCTCTGTCAGAGTCAAGGAAATAAATGGGTTCCCCCGTCTGAAGTTCAGAGTCGACTGTCTATGTGGAGTCTTCAGTTTTAAGCCTGGCTTCAGAGGTACTTGTTCTGATAGCACAGTGAAGTCCAACGCTTGCTCTTTTTATTTTTCACATCTTGGAATAAAGAACAGGCAAACTCAACTTTATGTTGGTAAACTGTTCTAAAATATACATTTTTTTGGGGGGGGGGTTTTCGAGACAGGGTTTCTCTGTGGCTTTGGAGCCTGTCCTGGAACTAGCTCTGTAGACCAGGCTGGTCTCGAACTCACAGAGATCCGCCTGCCTCCACCTCCTGAGTGCTGGGATTAAAGGCGTGTGCCACCATCACCTGGCCTAAAATATACATTTTAAAAAACATTTTATTACAATTTTTATTTATTGTGCTTTTGAGTATGGGTATGGGTTCAAACATGCCATAACTTAAAGATGGAGGTCAAAGGGCAAGTTGCAGGAGTTGGTTCTTTCCACTACATGGGTCCTAGGGATTGATCTCAGGTTGTGAGGCTATGTGGAAGACGCCTTTACCAGCTGAACCCCTCACTGACCCAAGGTGTGTGTTTTCATACAGAATTATAGATATGATCCTGGCAGGAAGCCTGTCCCTTTCCTACTGAGCATATTACACTTAGAAGAACTGTGGCCTTTGTAGTGCATGCTTGGGTGCCCGTGCCCATCTGATGGCCAGGCCTGAGCTCTTATCTAGCTTCAGCTGTGTACGACCTTTCCTGGATGATCGAATTCAGTGTGTCCCACCGAGATAACCATACCACTGTGGTCATTCCAGGAAAGTGTTGGGTATGCTTGCATCCTGCTTGTCCTGGCTGACCCGTCTTGTGTGTTTTAGGCTTTAAAGGAGATAGATGAAGTCGGGGACCTGCTGCAGCTGAAGTACTCACGACGTCGGTTGGTGCCTCTGTTGGACAGGCCCTTTGATGAGACGACCTATGAGGAGACAGAAGACTGAGCCTTTTTGGTGCTCCCTAGAGGGGGAAACTCCCTCCCAGGACAGTGTGTGGCCTTTCTGAGCCAGTTCCAGGAACCACACTTCAGTGACCACCTCATGTGAAAGACATTTCTGAAACTACTGAAGGTGGCCACCTCCACTCCAAATGGCATTTTGTAAATAGTAAAAAAACAAACTGCTTCACATTCTTCCTTTGTTTGCTAAGTCTCACCTTTATATACATATAAATGATTACTTTGCCCATTAAAAAATGTTTTATTTTATAACTATTCTACTTGTGAAATTACACTGACCCTTGCCTATGCCTTACCGCACAGGCATTCCCCACTCCAGCCACCTCATGGACTTGGATCCATCAAGACTTACTCTGGCCCTGGCTCTCCAGCCTTGAGACTCGCTGGCCCTCTCCCTAGGGAGCAAGTGCCTTCTGCTGACTTCCATCCAGGTCTCAGAAGTCGCCCCCCTGGTAACCCTTATTTAACCAGTCAAGTTAATCAACCAAAGCATCTGTCTTTAATCTTCAATGTTAACAATGCCAAGAAGTTTATTATGTGACCCCCCCACACACACACACACAAAGCCTCCCTAATCTGTTCTTACTCTGTGGTGGTGGTGGTCACCAGATAGTTTATTCATTAGTAGATATTTCTTCTTATGGTCACAGACTGAAGATGTATCCAGTGTTTGGGTTCTTCCCCAGATCTGACCCTAATGCTTCCCACCTCCGAAGTTACGACAGCCTTTGGCTGGTTCTGGGTCCAGAGTAGGATTTGACATGGTAAAGGAGAGTGTTGGTCAGTCCTTTACCCGTTCCGCCTCATCGTCAGTGGTGTAAGTTTTCCTTGTAGATGCTGACCCACTTGAACAGTGCTCTTCCAAATGCCGGTTCTTCTACTCTTGACGTCCTAAGACGACCCTAACCCAGCATCTAGGGCTGGCTTCTCTTGAGCTTCCATTGTGTATTTTTTTCTTTGAGGAATTCTGATCAAATACCTCTTTCCTAAACTGGAACAGCTTCTGTTTTTCTGTTACTACCAGGTCAGGGACTTTATCCAGAGCTTTGTGCTGCTTGACCAAAGAACACATCTGAAGAACACCATTTGGAGTTAGTACTTTTTTCTTTCAACCAAAGCATAGTGGAAGAGAACTTTTGTCTCTATTGTACTGAAGATGAATTTGTCTTTTAGTAGTGATCGTCTATCACTTAATTGAGAACAGAATGAAAAGAACTGTATAAAAGTATATTCTATATGTCATTCTTTAAAATTACTGTTTTTGTTGGTAAAGATGCCCCACCCAGATTCTCCTGGGACCTTCTTGTCTGCTGCAGTACATGGAAGAGAAAGCAGAAGCCTTGCTGTTGGTGAAGCTGTGCTCTCATGCCCTCTTGAGATCTGTGAGCTTCCAGCCCAGGAGATAGTCTAAGGTTGTATGAGGCTTTCTTAAAGAATAGATATGGAGCCTGGCGATGGCATCACATGCCTTAGTCCCAGCACTCGGGAGGCAGAGGCTGGTGGATCTCTGTGAGTTCGAGGCCAGCCAGAGCTGTTACACAGAGAAACCCTGTCTCAACCCACCCATCCCCCCAAAAAAGGAATAGAAATGGGTGAATAAGCTGGGCATGGTAGCCTGTGCCTTTAATCTTAGCACTTGCGAGGCAGAAACAAGCATATCTCTGAGCTTGAGGACAGCCAGGGCTGCATAGTGAAACCTGTCTCAAAAGAAAAAGAAAAAGAAAATGGTAAATAAAAGAACCATAGAAATTGACAACAACTACATTTATAAGAAAGATTTTGTAACAAAGTCTTGTAAAGCTCCAAACATCTTGCTCACATTCCCCCTGTGGAATCCCACCGGAATACCAAGTATAGTGACTTTAATGATGTAAACATAGGGCTTGTAAAAGTAACGAACTTTAAGCGATAAGCGTGTCTTTTAGCAAAGTCACTTCAAATTAAAGTGACTTTAATTTGTGACAGGCATTTAAATTTTTATGTGTGCATCACTTGGTTGGTGCGAAGTTTATTTTGAAGAGAGAAAACTCGTGTGATCTACATTCTAGAGGACAAAGTGGTGTATGCACATTATATGTGACTGGTTATTTGTAACTGTTACAGAAATCTCCCGTCCAGTCGTGTCATAGATTATTATCTAAATTTGGGGCAATACAGGGGTATATTAGTCCAGCATTTGAGAATCTTGAAGAGATTCAAACATGTAAGTCAGCTGCCACCACCAGACCTGGCTGCTGATTGGTTTGCAAGGTGCAGCTCATCGTGGCGCTTTGCGTCCTGCCTTTCATTACCATTGTCCTTACCCATTTCATGTGTGTAAGACCCACTACAGCCAACCAGAATCATATGTGAGGGAGATGGCCCAAGGGGCAAGGGCAGTGAGCATCTCCCCTCTGCAGTATCCAGCCCTCTTCAGTTCTTCATGCTCTTCAACTCTTCTGGTCTAGGCAAAGTTCATAATCAGCTTCTTCCTCGAATTTTCCGGCCTCACTTCTGCCACGTGCGCACCCCCCCCCCTCGTTGGCTGAAGGGTGGAGCATCCTCATAGTGATTGCCTCTGATCCTTCGCTCGCCCACTGTGTCTTCTGCTTCAGAGAGGACTGACGTGTGCTGCAGGGTGTGGGGAGCTGCAGTGTAGACAGCCTGCCCCTTGCATGCACAACCACGCACTTCAGTGATCCGCAGGGGACTTTTTCTATCTTTATTAGTTGAGGGCATCCACATCTGAGTGTCCATGACCGGCAGGGTGTAGCCGGATTACCTGGTATGTAATACACCCTGCAAAAAGTGGGCGGGATGAACAACTGACTTATTAGATCTTCTGACTTTTTGGACAAAGTATCTATTACCAACTCCATTTTTTCCAAATTGATGAATCTGCCTAATGGTTTGTAGTATTTTTGACAAAACGCCATAGAAAATAACAGTCAGTCTCCTGTGTAAATGATTGCTATGGGTCAGGTATGATGCACATCTGTAGTCCCAACACTCGGACAGAAGAGGACCCGGTAAAGCTCTGGGGGTGATGGGTAGATTGATATGACTGAGTGCCCGGACGCTGTTCTAGGTAAAAACTACCTGGGTGTTCCTGTCATTTTGCTTCAAGGTGGGGTTAGAAGAGGGAGAATGGTGTTCTTTCTTTCTGACAGCCCTGTGCCTGTGATGAGCAGGAACTGTGGAGTACTTCCCACAGGTAAAATCACCTTAACCTGGGGCTATGAAGAGAGAGGTTCATAAAAAATGAGGATTCTGCTTGGCGGTTTATCAGAGAATCTTTAGCCCCCATCCCACCCACCACCAAGTTCCAGAACCTATGGATGAGCCATTACCTGTAAGCTCCGTGCCCAGCAGGCATCTTAATCCATTAAGCCGGTCAATCAAAATACCTTCCATGTGAAGAAAAGCATGTCCTTCCTTCCCTCCTTCTTATCCACATGAAATGTGTGCAGGGCTCGTAGCCAGCTGCTGTGTCCAGCCAGACAGCCATCTCAGAGCTCAGAGAAATGCTAAGGCCTTCCACTGATCCCTTCCCTTGCCTTGCCTGTAAAATGGGAGTTATCGGTGACTTGTGTTTTCCAAACGGCTTTTTGCTGTAGAGTAAAGTGTTGCTAGGAAGGAAACACGAGGAGCCAATTTAAGCCCTTAATGAAAATGGCCTTTTTCATCTTTGCTGAGTCTGGAGGCTCTACATTCACAGTTCGCCCTTGGGAACAGCGTGGGGGTTTGGGGAGACGTGGGCAAGATTTCGTTCACTATGATGTGGCCTTGCATTGTCACTGCAGCTGGTGCGCACGGAAGGAGGCGAGGCTCTCACCCTGCGGTCACTTTTTAATGAAGCAATACCTAGCGCTCTGTTTTTGGAGCAGTCGAAGTAGGTGGAATGGAAGGTGCCTGCAAGAACGGCACCCCCACGTGCTGCTGCTCTCCCCGGCTCAACTCTAAGTCTAGCACAGGTCCCAGGTTTCCTGTACAGATCCTGACTGGCGTAGGCCTTTCAAAGGAGTGGCGATTGCACCACCAAGTGAGGCGGAGTAGTGACTTACCTTCCCCCTTATCCTTGTACCTCAGGATTGGTTTAGCCAGTAGCTGGAATTGAGAGCTTCCTTATTGGGTCTTTCTCCACAGGACATAGAAGCCTTTTGTGTGAGCTTAGCCTGCATGCCCATAGTCTTGATGATCCCTCTCCGTACAAAGGCAGCTAGCAGTAAGGGATGGGGGAGAGGAGAACAGGTGTGAGAGCTGAATTAGGGCGGTCCTGTTGATCCATGGTGTGAGAGGTGAATTAGGCTGGTCCTGTTGATCCACGCCTTCCCATGACCAAGTTACTGTGAGCTGAATTAGGCTGGTCCTGTTGATCCATGCCTTCCCACTGACCAAGTTACTGTAAGCTGGAATCTGCAGGTGTCCTGTGACCTAACCCCTTCCATTGCTGCAATGTTCTTACCACCTGGGAATGTGGGGTTCGTTTGAATTTTAGTAACGTCTTACAAATGTCACTCGCCTGTAGCCTTCTGCCTTCTTGCCAGATCATGATTTTTTTAAATTTTGATTTTGTATCGGATGACTGTGAAGCTATACATAGTAGGTTGTAGAGGGTATCCGTTTTCAGAGTACATGTTAAGAATTAAAGGGGACCTACTTGTGATGAATCATCCCACAGATATTGTTTTGGCCTAATAAAATATTCAGAAATAGACACCTGCCTTTATTCATTCAGCCAATAAATATTAGGCATTAACCTCAAAGCCAGCAAGTGCAAGTGCACTGGGAATTAACAGCAGTGAAAAGACAGATGTGGACAAGTGTGTGAACACCGTTTTACAGACTGCTAAGGCTTGCACAGAGCACCCAAAAGGAATAATAGAAATGGGTAACAGAGAAGACTTGTCTGAGGAAGTGGAAAGTCTGATGGGTTTCAGTAAAAGAAGACCTCAGTCGGGAGGCAGAGGTGGGAAGATCATTGCAAGTTTGGTGGGGGACCACAGGTCAAGGCTAGAGAGGCCAGGACAGCTATGCCTCTTTGCAGGTTGAGGTGGGGTGGTATGGGGTGCGGTGGGGGACCACAGGCCAAGGCTAGAGAGGCCAGGACAGCTATGCCTCTTTGCAGGTTGAGGTGGGGTGGTATGGGGTGCGGTGGGGGACCACAGGCCAAGGCTAGAGAGGCCAGGACAGGTATGTCTCTGCAGGTTGGGGTGGGGGACCACAGGCCAAGGCTAGAGAGGTGGGGCAGCTATGCCTCTTTGCAGGTC